CTCATACAATGAATAGAGCTCATAGCTCATACAACGAATAGAGCTCATACCTCATACAATGAATAGAGCTCATACCTCATACAATGAATAGAGCTCATACCTCATACAATGAATAGAGCTTATACCTCATACAATGAATAGAGCTTATACCTCATACTACGAATAGAGCCCATACATCATACCCTGAATAGAGCTCATACCCTGAATAGAGCTCATACCTCATACTACGAGTAGAGCTCATACCTCATACCCTGAATAGAGCTCATACCTCATACTACGAATAGAGCCCATACATCATACCCTGAATAGAGCTCATACCCTGAATAGAGCTCATACCTCATACTACGAGTAGAGCTCATACCTCATACCCTGAATAGAGCTCATACCTCATACAATGAATAGAGCTCATACCTCATACCCTGAATAGAGCTCATACCTCATACCCTGAATAGAGCTCATACCTCATACAATGAATAGAGCTCATACCTCATACCCTGAATAGAGCTCATACCTCATACCCTGAATAGAGCTCATACCTCAAGCCTTGTGAGAAAATTCCCCTTTACACCTCTTCATTAACCCCGCCCCCAAATGGACACCAACCTTTATCTAGGACGGGCCCAAAGATGGCCAGGTTGTCATTCACCGTCGTGCAGTTCCACCTCCTGCCGCGGAACTGGTGCTGACATTCCTGTATGCCGATCTTCACCCCCTCCGCCACGCTGGGCATGATCTCCATGTAATTCCGACAAAACCGCATCTGCTTCGCCACGAGCCCCGGGATGGTGCCACACGGGATGGGCTGCGTCCCCAGAGAAGAGTACTGCTGGCCGATGGCCAACGACCTGAAAGAGAGGATTGGAGAATCAGTCACCGACAGGCATCGTCCCACCAGGAGGACAAGACCATTCCCTGATCCCTGAACATCGGCGGATCTGATTGGTCCACAGAGAATCACACCACCCAGGAGCCCAGCCAACCGTCACCCACAAATTGTTTGATTCTCAGCGGGGGTCAGACAAATCGGCAATTCGCATGACAGCAAATCAGAAAAGCTGCAACCCAGCGACTTGCTTCATTTGCAAATCAAACTCTTAATTACTGTCACCGGACAAGAACAAACTTTATGTATAAACAATGTATCCAATCTGCTACAAAATACTCTCCGATGTGGATTCAGCCCAATGCTGCGGAGACGATATATTTCCTGACAGCGGAGACCCCGTAGAATAAAATGGTGGCAGTTGCAATTTTTTCACGTCACGTGATATTAGCGCAACTCTTTATCAAACCCCCCAAAAAATACACAGGTTCATTTTAGTGCACAAAACACAATATAATATATAATATTAAACATAAAAGAGGAGGTTATGCCAAGTAAACAGATACCCAACACGCCATGAAAAGGGGGACACTATATGGTGCCCCAAATTGTCCATAGGCTATGCTTTAAAAGCTTGTACAGGCAGGGCCGGATTAACATAGGGGAGGGTGGAGCTCCCGCTCCAGGCCCGCCCCTGCAAATAGGCCCGGCTGAGCCGACCCGACTCGAATCGCGACCGGGCTGAGCCGACCCGAATCACGCTCCTCTATTCGGGCATATCAGAGGGCCACAGCTGCCAGTCTCACCGACCACCTGGAGCCCGCACTGAACACATGAGAGCCCATACTGACTGCCTGAAGCCCGCACTGACAGCCTGGGGCCCGCACTGACAGTCTGGGGCCCGCACTGACCACCTGAGAGCCCATACTGACCGCCTGAAGCCCGCACTGACCGCCTGAAATAGTATGATTCTGCATTGCTGTATGAAGTGTTGCTGGGATTTGTAGTCCTCTATAGCTAATAGTATGATTCTGCATTGCTGTATGAAGTGTGGCTGGGATTTGTAGTCCTCTATAGCTAATAGTATGATTCTGCAGTGCTTTACAATGTATTGCTGGGATTTGTAGTCCTCTGTAGTTCGTAGTATTATTCTGTATTGCTGTACTCTCCGTGTGACAGAGTGATAATGCAGGAGGGCAACCGGGAGACGCAGCAGGGCGTTGTCACCCCTTAACAGGAAGTGCCTGAACAAGGACATTTATAGCAGGATCGTTGGGGATCATTATAATGACAGCTGCCATGACTTTTCAAATGACATCCACATGTTACAGCTTCTATGAGATCCGATGGATCGGGTTTACGTCTTCTTTAACGAGCTTTCTGCAACACCATCTGCAGATGCCGACATCAGGATGTGGAGAGCAGACCGCACCTCTGTAGTGTGGGTGGCATCAGCGCCCACACCCGTATGACGCAACCTCAGCGGTCTGCCCAGGTCTATGCCATTGGACCTACAGCATGGCCGGGGCACAAAGTCACAATGAATGAAATCATTACATGTGGGGCAGAAGGGAGGGATGGCGGTGAGTTCATTCATCTGGCAGTCTCTTCCCTGCACTGAGCTGCTTGGTCTATACACCTGCTGTGCCCATTATGAGGGGCCCCCACCATCCCTGTGCTGAGTTCCTGGGTCTGTACACCTGCTGTGCCCATTATGAGGGGCTCCCACCATCCCTGTGCTGAGTTCCCGGGTCTGTACACCTGCTGTGCCCATTATGAGGAGCTCCCACCATCCCTGTGCTGAGTTCCCGGGTCTGTACACCCGCTGTGCTCATTATGAGGGGCTCCCACCATTCCTGTGCTGAGTTCCCGGGTCTGTACACCCGCTGTGCCCATTATGAGGGGCTCCCACCATCCCTGTGCCGAGTTCCCGGGTCTGTACACCCGCTGTGCCCTTATGAGGGGCCCCCGCCATCCCTGTGCTGAGTTCACGGGTCTGTACACCCGCTGTGCCCATTATGAGGGGCTCCCACCATCCCTGTGCTGAGTTCCCGGGTCTGTACACCCGCTGTGCCCATTATGAGGGGCTCCTTCCATCCCTGTGCTGAGTTCCCAGGTCTGTACACCCGCTGTGCCCACTATGAGGGGTATACATGGTTTCCATATGTGCGGACATCTTTATGATTGTATATAATGGAAATGGTTGATTGGCCCGACAGAGTCACTCGCAGCCTATGGCGGCCTTCCTCCCATAACACTGAGGGACGGTGATGGAGCCGCGGCGTGTGAGCGGAGGGAGGGAGGGAACAGCTGGAAGCAGCAAGTCAGGTCGGGTCAGAGCAGTCTGCAGAAGCATGGAAATTTCCTCAATTATACAGCAAGCCGTGGCCTGTAAAATGAAATCAATTTGTTCTCTTCCTGCCTGGAACTCGGCGCTCACAGAGTGATTGCTAATGAATGTGACTCATGTCACCGCAGCGTGGCAACGTCTCTCCAATACAGAAATCTTCTTCTATGGACCTAGGCTGGACCTGTCCCTCGAAGAACAATGGCCGCCCCTCCTCCACCCCCCGGACCCCGCGTCCCAATTCCTAATCTGCTTTTATTTCAATGCTTGCTCAGTGTACAGAACCGGGAACTCAGCACAGGGATGGTGGGAGCTCCTCATAATGGGCACAGCGGGTGTACAGACCCGGGAACTCAGCACAGGGATGGTGGGAACCCCCCTACACATGGTAAAGCATAATCAATGGTGTGAGGATCAAGAAGCAGCAGTAGGAGTGGTGGAGGAAGCACAGATCCACTGAATGGATGTAACAGAAGCAGGGAGATCCTTGCACTGCAGGTCATCAGGTGCAGCTTCCTCTCCAGCAAGGAGAACATGAGCAGCACAGCAGTAACATCACCAAATCTCACTCCAAAGAGCAGTGCCTTAGATGATCTCACACGGCAGATACACAGAACAGGAGCCCCCTAGGCAGAGGAAGTGCACTGATATCAGGAGTGCCTAGACACAGGAAGTACACTGATTTTAGGAGTACCTACACATAAGAATTTCTCTGATATCAGGAGTGCCTAGACACAGGAAGTGCTCTGATATCAGGAGTGTCTAGACACAGGAAGTGCTCTGATATCAGGAGTGCCTAGACACAGGACGTGCTCTGATATCAGGAGTGCCTAGACACAGGAAGTGCTCTGATATCAGGAGTGCCTAGGCACAGGAAGTACAACAATATCAGGAGTGACTAGACACAGGAAGTACTTTGATATCAGGAGTGCCTAGGCACAGGAAGTGCTCTGATATCAGGAGTGCCTATGCACAGGAAGTGCTCTGATATCAGGAGTGCCTATGCACAGGAAGTGCTCTGATATCAGGAGTGCCTATGCACAGGAAGTACATTGATATCAGGAGTGCCTAGGCACAGGAAATACACTAATAGGCATATCATACACACAAAGTTCAGCTGTAAGCGATGAAGCATCGGCTGATAATTGGCGCAGTCGGTGCGAGCGCTCCATGCGTGGTGACGAAGGATGGTGAAGTTTATAGAAGGTGTCGTCTGGGATCACTTTGTCTTACAAATCCCTCTTCAATCTCCAGGCAATAAACTTTCTTTCTGTAACAGACGTGAGCGGTGTGAAGTGGAAGTGGAGAGTCATCGGGGCCTTTGTGGGAAGGATTAGAGAATAAGTCAACAGCAAGCCGACAGAACGGCTCGTAAACTCTCCCCAGTCACTTCATAAACTGACTTATAATGGATGCCGGTGATTTATCTCGTGTCATAATAGTCTCCGTGCGGTCATAGACGTGTGCTGCGTGTATAACGCATTGCAGGAATGCCAGCCGCAATTATATATATCCAAACACTGACGCAATGTGACGCTGGAAGTGTCAGAATCAGGCAAGGAGATTATAATATTATTACTGTTATTGTTTTTATTATTACCTCATAATGGGCACAGCGCGTGTACAGACCCGGGAACTCAGCACAGGGATGGTGGGAGCTCCTCATAATGGGCACAGCGGGTGTACAGACCCGGGAACTCAGCACAGGGATGGTGGGAGCCCCTCATAATGGGCACAGTGGGCGCACAGAACCGGGAACTCAGCACAGGGAGGGTGGGAGCTCCTCATAATGGGCACAGCGGGTGTACAGACCCGGGAACTCAGCACAGGGATGGTGGGAACCCCCCTACACATGGTAAAGCATAATCAATGGTGTGAGGATCAAGAAGCAGCAGTAGGAGTGGTGGAGGAAGCACAGATCCACTGAATGGATGTAACAGAAGCAGGGAGATCCTTGCACTGCAGGTCATCAGGTGCAGCTTCCTCTCCAGCAAGGAGAACATGAGCAGCACAGCAGTAACATCACCAAATCTCACTCCAAAGAGCAGTGCCTTAGATGATCTCACACGGCAGATACACAGAACAGGAGCCCCCTAGGCAGAGGAAGTGCACTGATATCAGGAGTGCCTAGACACAGGAAGTACACTGATTTTAGGAGTACCTACACATAAGAATTTCTCTGATATCAGGAGTGCCTAGACACAGGAAGTGCTCTGATATCAGGAGTGTCTAGACACAGGAAGTGCTCTGATATCAGGAGTGCCTAGACACAGGACGTGCTCTGATATCAGGAGTGCCTAGACACAGGAAGTGCTCTGATATCAGGAGTGCCTAGGCACAGGAAGTACAACAATATCAGGAGTGACTAGACACAGGAAGTACTTTGATATCAGGAGTGCCTAGGCACAGGAAGTGCTCTGATATCAGGAGTGCCTATGCACAGGAAGTGAAGACACAGGAAGTGCTCTGATATCAGGAGTGCCTAGGCACAGGAAGTACAACAATATCAGGAGTGACTAGACACAGGAAGTACTTTGATATCAGGAGTGCCTAGGCACAGGAAGTGCTCTGATATCAGGAGTGCCTATGCACAGGAAGTGCTCTGATATCAGGAGTGCCTATGCACAGGAAGTGCTCTGATATCAGGAGTGCCTATGCACAGGAAGTACATTGAT